CTATAACAAATTTCGACACAGTAAACAGAAATAGCAGATTGAAACTGGGAACCACATAAACTACTTCAACATTAAAAAGGCACAAATATGCACGTCCTCATCCTTGGGTCATACTTTACAGATTTCAATTGAGTTTCTGCAAGAAATAATCCAAACTAGCTACAAGCTGTTCTTGATTGCTTCCTAGTTGCTGTCTTTATTCCATAGGATGGAGATAATCGGAACATTCAACTGTACATTGGTTGGATAACATAGACTGTCTTTGAAGAGTACAACCACAAACTCGAAAAGTCTAAACTCAGAGTGCAGCATATGATTTTGGATAGTAAAATAAACACAGATTTTTTACTGTAAAATTTTTGGTGGTCTTTAACAAACTTAACCTATATTGGTCAAGAGTGATGCCTAAAGTACACCAGAAATGCTTGGTGGTCTTTAACCTATATTGGTTAAATTTTGACTGTAAAATAAACACAGATTTTTTACTGTAAAATTTTTTGGTGGTCTTTAACAAACTTAACCTATATTGGTCAAGAGTGATGCCTAAAGTACACCAGAAATGCATTCCAAGCATCTTTCAAAAGATAACTTTATCTAACATAAACCCAAACTACCATAACATATTGTCGGACCACCTATGCCACTCTTGTAGATTCATATAATCAACCAATTTCCAGCTTTACTCTGCCTTCTCTTTCCCCCTGCTTGCAATCCCCATGTTTCAAAACATATCATCTCTATATAGCTTATTACAATTAATTGCTTTATCATCTCTATATAACTTACTAATCAAGATTTTACCTAACTTCATTATCCCACTTCCAAATTTAAATATTAAAAGAACCCAGCTCTAGTATTAAATTTCAAAAAACACGCCATAAGTTCATTATCAAATAAGAACAAAAGCTACAGCTGAATTTATATCCCAAAAAAATAATGACATAATCAGTTCATAATAGAATTGGAGCAAATGCAGCAACAACCCATGACCAATCATAAACAATAAAAAAGTATTGACAGTAGGGGGCAAAAGTAGTATAAATAGAAGAAGAACATACAAGAAGTAGAAGAAAGCAGTAGGGGGCTTCTTGGGCTTAAAGGCGTCAATTTTGGAACTCTTCTTCTTCTTCTTTGGTGTCATTTTCGACTTGTTTCCAGCAGGGTTTTTCATTTGCTGTGATGTTCTCACCCGCAAAACCATTCTCCTGAAAACTTAAGATTTTTCACTCAATAACAGCCAAAAATTACAAACAAAATTGAATAAAAAACATATAATTTCTTTTATATGAAGTAAAATCCAGAACCCAATAGTACCAACCCATCTGTTGTTTTGGCAGTAGTTGCTGAAGCAGAGGCAGAAGCAGAATTTTGAGAGGTTGAAGAAGCTCTTCCCTTCGCCATTGTGTAGTTGTGGCCTGGTTCAGCGTCTGGGAGGTTTGATTGTGCTGTGACTCTTTTGAGTCTTGACTAATAGTAGGTTTTTATGTATCTCTGGGTCCGGACCCGGTCTGGTTCGATGGTATATACGGTCTTAGCAATTGAAATTTGAAATATCTAGCGGTTTTTTTTTAATCTTGTCATTAACTAGTTGTTTACATTGTGATACCTTCAAGCAACTTTTTTATATTTGACAAATATTTATTGAACTTTGACAACAAAAGATATTTATTGAACGAATATTGATAGAAAAGAATCAAAATAATGAATGTTATAAAGTTAAGATACCAAATATAGGATGAATAGTAAAATTAAACGGAATAAAAGTAGTTGTGCACAAGTTAATAAATAGTTCATAGTGTTAACTCGTGCTTTATTTATGTACTCTTTTTTTTAAGAAATTTGTAAAGAAATTGGATTTTGGCAATGGAGAAATTTTATGAAAATAATATCCAATTATACAATTTAAATGGATTAGCATGAGTGGTGTGTTAAAAAAAACGTGGAGTAAAACATGATAGAAAATGAAAATTTGTAAGATCGTAGATCTATTATTAAATAATTAATTCAAATAATACGAATAGAAAATGTGTGACAGCCCCACCTTTCTCTAGGGCGAACCATAGGGTATCAGCGGACTGCCAGCTCAACTCTCGCCGGGACTCGATCGATTAAAGAACTAGCAACTCAAAAAAACTAATGAAATATCTTCAAAACAAAGAGTGCAAACCCTAGAGGAAATATAATCGCCACGCCGACTTTCTAAATTTAGAATATAGAGTTAAATGTTAAACTTACTACTCCACACTTAATTTACATAACATACGTCGAACTTATAAATTCAAACTTACAAGAGTCAAAAGTAAGGTCTTCTAAACAAAAAGGTACAATCCGAAGTACAAGTTCAAAATAAAAAATAAAGCTATAAAAGCTCTTGAACATAGGTCCATCCCAGATCTGTTAAGGAAAACAAAGGGAGTGGGGTAAGTTAAAATTCAGTGAGATTCCAAACAAACATGTAAGCACATAGCCAAATAAAAGCGTAATATTAACAAGTAAGCACAGTAGTGTACGATAACAAGTTAATCACAGTTCAATTCAAGAATACGGGTAGTTTCTAAAAACCAAATCCACTTGAGCTTGATCATACGAGAATCCGTTGACTCTTCGTCAACGTTTGCATTTAAAGAATACAATATCCGTAGAACACCACATTCTCCAGTTCCCGTCCACCAATCAACCCCCTTACTGGGTCCGAACTCCTCAAATAGTAAGTAGGTAATACTTGAGTATACCGGTTTCCAGTTTTCAGTAAACAGTTCTCAAGATTTATCGGTCTTTTCGACCAAACCCTTGTTGACTCAATACAACCGATTCACCTATGAGGTTAGGTACCCCAACAGTGGCAGTAGTTGATGGGATATCACCCCAAGCAACACACATACAGTAAAATATAGAAAAATCACATCTCATAACACCAGTATACAGAGCTTGAGTGGTATCAAAGGAGGTTGAGTGTGATAAAGTACACGCTCACCTCAGTTTTTGGCAAAACAATGTTTAGCTCAACCAGTCACCAGTCCAGTACTCAGATATTTTACATAGACAGTTAACAGGTAATGGAACATTCACCTGTCAAGCAATGAAGTGTTCAAACATCAAGCCCCTTGGTTACGTTCACCACCGTTTCCCAATTCTAGGGCAATAAGTGAAATTGTTAACAAACTAGGTTCAGTTCCAACCCAAATGTGAGCTCATTAGATGACCAAATGAGTGGTTAACTCTACTCAATTCACCATGCAAGTTAGGCCCACAATGCAGTAAAAGTTCATGAGAAAACAAGTTTGATAAGTGCAAGAAAGTTGGGCAAAAGAAAAATTCATTCAAGCTCAAAGTGTTTTTCGCGTGTAAAACAGTTGCGCCCGCGCAGTCTCAGAAAATAAAATCCAAATCTAACAAAATAATTGTTGGTAAGTGTAAGGATCGAGGACAACCTAAGAGGGGGGTGAATTAGGTTTTCTAAAACCAGTTAAGATATATGTCACTCTTTTTCAAGCCTACTCTTCTTTTCTCAAATACCACTCAATGGATCAGATTGCAAGAAAGCACAGGTGTTCGAGAGATGAAGAGATGAACAGTTTATATATTAAAACTGTAAACGAAAGTAGAGAGACAAACCAGGTTTCAAACTCAATTTGAGTTTGAATAACACTTTATATAACAAGCTACTTCAAGTTGAACAATCTTGCAACCAATTTCTTGTGTACAAGGGAAGGATCACTTCCTTCTTGCTCCAAATCACACTTGGTCAAGCAAGGAAGTTTTACAAACACTCAGATAACCCTCACAATGCTACACTATTGAAGAAGCTGTGTCACACTTGAAAAGCTACAAGAAAATTGCACAAGCTGAGAATACAAATGTTCCTTTTTGGAGTATTCTAACACTTGAATCACTCACGATTTGATGTAGACTTGATGTTCAAAGTTTTTCTGAGGTGGTTGACTTTGTTCCTTTTATAGGAGACCAAGAAATTCTTCAATTAATACTGTCAACGGATAGAAGGCATCTGAAGAGTCAACTAGCCGTTGGTGCTGTCGGACGTCCGATATTCAGTTTTTATGCGTCCGAGCGAGGTCAGTGAGTTTGAGAAATTTTCTTGAACCTCTTAGGATGTCCGATCCCCTCTCACCATGCGTCCGAGGGTAAGATGCAGACTTGGAGGTTCCTCTTCATTTCCTTCGGACGTCCGATGCTCAGGTGTTGAGCCTCCGATCGTAATTAGTAATCGTAGAAGCCCTGGCTTGTCTTCTTCGGTCGTCCGAGTCTGAGTTCTTCACACGTCCGAAGTTACTCAATGGATGTCGGACGTCCGATACTCTCCTTTTGTGCGTCCGACATCTTCTTCAGCACTTTTCACCATTTTTGATCTTCTTTTTGCTCTAAATCCTCAGACCTGTTTAGTGTCATTTCTGAAAAGAGTCTCTACAAAAAGTATTAGTAACATCCGTTTGTTTTGTAATCATCAAAAGATATGAGTTGAGATAAACAATCTCCCCCTTTTTGATGATGACAAAATACTTGGATAGAGCAAAAAAAAAAAAAAGACATACGAGCTGGGATTACAACTCCCCCTAGCGAAATGATGAGTATACTAAAAGAAATGCAACTCCCCCTAAAACTGACTCCCCCTAACTAGTTTCTTTACACCATCAGTGCTAATCCAATTCTCCCCATTTTTTGTCATCACAAAAACAAGTATGCCATGTCTGATCAATTTTGATACCAGCAACATCAGAAATCATCAGCACGATCCATCAGAAACATTAGCAACAAAAATTTGACAACAAAGATTTGCAGATAACAAACACATCCATTCATAACAAACACATCCATTCACAGCAGATAACATCAGAAACACTTAGTCATAGCATCCATAAACAGTAGAAAACATCCAGTTGTACAGACCAGAAGTACAACTCCTAGTACATTGCATACGAAAAGTTTTGCAGTGCAAAAGATGAACTATAGTTCTAAAATAAAGTGCAGTGACCTAGCAGTGCCTAGATAGTGATTTTAGATGATCCAGGCCTCCTCCTGGCCAGACGAAACTGTTCAGGGTCCACTTTTTCCTCAGTTTCTTCATCGTCTTCTTCATATGCCTCCTCAGTTGCTGGAGCCTTGCCTTTATCCTTGGGCTGAGAGTTGGAAGGTGGTGTGGCCTCAGTACCAGTAGTTGGCCCTGTGGGGTCAGGTCTTGGCTCTTTCTGATGAGCATTTTCATTGTTTTCAGGTATTGGAGGCACAAGAAGGTTCCTTTTTTCAATGAAAGAAGATTGTTGGGCAGGGGTCATGGTCATCATGAGACCATCTTCAATAAGCATAACATGCTGTTTGAGATCTTCAAGTAAGGAGATGACCTCAGAATTGGAAGAGAAGGACTTGCTGACAGACTTTTTAGGATGAATGGTGAAAGGAGAGACATAGTCTGACTGATCACGAGGAGTCCTAAAAGTGACAGGGGTTTCATGAAAGTTTTTCCTTCTAGACTCAGCCACAATCTCCTTATAGCACCAATGGCCATAAAAAAATCTTAAGTTCTTCCTTTCAAAATAAGCTTTTGAAAAAACTGTTGAAACCCTGTCTTTGGGTGATTTTTCAGAAAAAGGTATTTCAAAATGGGTAAAGATAGGGGTCAGAAATTTGCCATAAGAGAGCTTCCTACGACTGTCTGTGTTAATTTTGAGCAGAAACTTGCGCATCACAATCCAAAGTCAATGCGAATTTTTTCAACAAAACAGGTAGAATTCCATTTTGTTTGCATCTGTTCTGTGGTCATTAGTTGGAACCAACAGATTTGAAATGATGGTGAAGATGATCAGATTTTAAGAACTGAGATCATTTAATCTTGTCTCAGCAGGAGTATTAAATTTGGTTTGAAAATAGGTCATGAGTTTTGCATTGTAAAAATGATGGTAGGCAGAAGGAAATTCCTCATACAAAAAGAAATTTACAATTTCTCTTTTGTAACCATCTTCAATTTTTGTTTTCAAAATGGAATTTACAATGTCAGGTGTTAATGTGATGTTCACAGAGTTGACCCTAGAGATGAGTTCTGTGTGTGAGTTACCCTTTCTAAGATTAGTAAAGAATTGATAAAGCATGTCAGGGGTAAAAGGTATTAGGGATGGTCAGAATATGAACCCATTTTTGGAATTCAAACAGCTTAATAACAGGTTCAAGATCAAGCTTACGAAATTCGTAGAGAAGGATGAGCCTTTGGGTGATGAACCCTTTTTAAGAGACCAACTCAAATCTGTCTCTTGCTTCATTATCAATGAATTTTGGGAGAGGAGTGGGTTCTGTTACGGGCTGAGATACTTGATCCTTCCCAGAACGTTTCCCTTTCGAGATTTGTGTGGCAGATGCCACAACATTTTGAGCCTCAGTCATTGTCCTTGGAGACTTCCTGGTGGAGGGTTCAGGTGTTTGCTGATTCTCAGCAATGTTTCCTTTATTCTGCTGATCAATAGAGGGATTAGCAGATTATTTTTTCTTGGATTGGGGAGTGCTCTTCCTTTTTGCAGTTCTCTTTCTTTTACCAGATGACCTTGTGACAGTTTCATCACCCTGGGTAGCTCGCTCTGGTTCCTCATTTCCACCAACTATGTTTCCTTCAGAGTTCTGCTCTTCCATCTACTCATCAGATGGTTCAACAGTTGGAGAAACCAATTTTCGTTGGACAGTTTGCTTCACTTTACCACCACGGGTCACAATCTTCTTTTTAGGTGCTTGGGTAGATGGTTCCACAATTTCAATGTCCTCATCTTTGAGCCTAAAAGACCGTCCGGCACTAGTAGACCCTCCTCTGATTCTAACCATGATGCAATGTGGATGTGTTTTTGATGCAGAATGTGATGTATAGACGAAGAATGCAGTATGAGCAAACGAGAATGCATTGTAATATCGCAAGGAGAGAGTTATGAGAAGTTAGGGTTTTGCATGTGAATTGGGAACTATGGGGTAGTTGGGGGTTAGGAGTGATTTTTATGAGTGGTTAACGGTCAATAGAGGTGTAATGGCGTTGGTTGAATCAATTTTTTGGAACTTGATTTGAGGAGAGAGGAATTTGAATTTTAAATATGAGAGGAAACTGAAAGGTTGCGTCCGAGACCGTGGAGGAAAATGAACTGAGGAAGATGGGTAATTACTATATAAGGCTCAATTTTTGAGTGTCGAACTTCCGAACGAAGTGAAACGTCCGACACAACCGTCCGAACCAGTGCTTTTTTGAAACGGGACGAAGAACACTGTTAGACGTCTATTCCAATTCATCGGACGTCCGATAAAGATTGACTAGAAACGAAATTTAGAATATTTTTCTGAAACGTCCAGTTTTGTTCTCAAGAACACAAATTGATCCAGTGGAAGAGCTTTTGTGAGGATATCAGCGATTTGCTCTTTAGAACAAACAAACTGCACACAGATTACCCCCTTAGAGACAAGATCGCGAATGAAATGATACTTTATATCAATGTGTTTAGTTCTAGAGTGTTGAATGGAATTTTTTGTCAAATTAATTGCACTAGTATTGTCACAGTACATAGGTACACATTCATATACTAAACCAAAATCATTCAATGTGTTTTTCATCCATAACAATTGAGCACAACAAGCACCAGCAGTAACATATTCAACTTCAGTAGTGGACAATGAGATAACATTTTGTTTTTTACTAAACCAAGATACTAAGCAATTTCCAAGAAAGTTGCATATACCAATAGTATTTTTTCTATCTATTTTACAACCACCGAAGTCAGCATCAGAGAATCCACATAAAGGAAGTTCATGACATTTTGGATACCACAAGACAAAGTTTAGGGTTCCTTTAAGATATTTAAGAATTTTTTTTACCGCATTCAAATGTGATTCCTTTGGACAGGATTGAAATCGAGTACATAAGCATACATCAAACATGATGTTAGGCCTACTGGCAGTTAAATAGAGTAAACTTCCAATCATATCTCTATACTTCGTTTCCTCAACTTTTGTACCTTCTTCATCTTTGTCAAGTTTGGTAGATGTGTACCTAGGTGTTCCAACAGGCTTTGAGTTCTCCATTCCGAATCTTTTCAGCAGCTCCTTGGTGTATTTTGTTTGATTTATAAACGTTTCATCTCGGGTTTGAGCCACTTGGAGTCCAAGAAAGAAATTCAATTCTCCCATCATGCTCATTTCAAATTCTTGTTGCATGATGTTGGAAAAGTCCTTGCATAAGCTCTCATTAGTAGCACCAAATATGATATCATCCACATATATTTGCACAATTAAAAGATCTCGTGAGCTTTGTTTTGTGAAAAGTATAGTATCTATAATGCCCCTTTTAAAACCATTTTCAATCAAAAAACCACTCAAACGTTCATACCATGCTCTAGGAGCTTGTTTTAATCCGTATAAAGCTTTTGAGAGTTTAAAAACATGATATGGATAAGATTCATTTTCAAAATCAGGAGGTTGGTCAACATAGACTTCTTGATCTATAAAGCCATTTAAGAAGGCACTTTGAACATCCATTTGAAATAATTTAAAATTCTTGAAACATGCAAATGCTAGAAACATTCTAATGGACTCCAGCCTAGCTACAGCTGCAAAGGACTCATCAAAGTCTATTCCTTCTTCTTGAGTGTATCCCTTAGCCACCAGTCTGGCCTTATTTCTAACAACCTCCCCTTTATCATTCATTTTGTTTCTAAAAACTCACTTTGTGCCAATGATAAGATGGTCTTGTGGTCTAGCAACCAGGGTCCAAACCTTGTTTCTTTCAAATTGGATTAACTCTTCTTCCATAGCCAAAATCCAGTGCTCATCATTCAATGCATCAACAACATTTTTAGGGTTTCAAGTGTGATACTAAAGCAAGATTATCTACTAGGTGTCTAGAGGAATGAGTTCTGACCTTTTCAGATGGATCACCAATTATAAGCTCCCTGGGATGGTTCTGGACAAATTTCCAAGTTCTTGGAAGATCATTAGGAGTGGTGGTGTCTCTGTCATTCACTTCTCCAGCTGGACTGTCTTGAGTATCAGCATCCTTTAAATCAGTTTCTGGTGAAGCAGAGCCATGATCATTGATTGCTAACTTCTTTAATTCTTCTTGAATACCTATATCATCATCTTCACCACAACTCATGGAAATGTCACCATTAGATTCATCAAAAGTAATGTGTATCGCCTCCTCTATAACCAGTGTTCTACGATTATAAACTCTGAAACCTCTTTTGTTTTCACAATATCCTAAGAAAATTTTCTCATCAAATTTCTTGTCAAACTTTTCAAGATGTTCCTTGATGTTCAAAATGAAACATTTACAACCAAAGACTTTAAAGTAACCAACAACAGGCTTTTTGTAAACATAAGCTCATAGGAAGTTGTCGCGCCCCATTTTTTGATAAGAAAAATAAATGGTTTGAGAAAGATGTTTTTAATTCAATTGTGATTGGAAAATGATTTTTGTGAGTTGAAAAGACATGGGTCTCAATGGGACTTGGAAAGCGACGATTTGACCCAAAAAATAGTTTTAAAAAAGGGTTTTGAAAAGAAAAGTTTGGAGTCGCCACTTGGTAATGATTTAAGGTGTACCAAGTCACCTAAAAATGAGATTTAAAGCCAAGTAGTAATAAACCCTTTTTAAAACGACTCCTAGTCCACGTAAGCCAAAAAAAAAGGTTCGGGAGTCACGTTTGACAAAGGGGAAGGCAAGGATAGAATCCAAGGCACCCCTTTGACCTAGCCAAGGCTAGTTGCGCGACTTAACCTTACCTTTCCTAATTTTCTACCCAATGTATGTATCGCACGTTGGATATGACTATATGAATGCAAAACAGAAAGGAAAATGCAATCCTAAATTCTACGATGTCTCTTGTGAGGCTTTTGGTCCCAAACCACATGAATTGTGGCGGCCAACAAAGGAAAACCTCATAGAGGTCGATTAATGCAAATGAGAGTTCAAATTCAAGTGTGCAAGTGTGAAAGTGTATGAAAGATGCAAGAAATGTAAGTGCAAGTGTGCGAATGTATAAAAAGGTGCATGTGTGAAATTGTATAAAATTCAAGTGTTTTTTGTGTGCAAATGTGTGAAAATAAAATAATAGATATATAAGGTAAAGTGGAATTTCATTTGTGAGGTGGAAATGAGCACGTGATAGGAAAATGTAGTGAGAAAGTATGGTTTGAGAAATGTGCAAAATTGTGGTTAAAAGTGTATGGATGTGATAAAAATGAAAGTATGACCCTAGGGGAATGCAACAAGTCGGGTACGGGGGTTGACTCCTAACTTTTCGACTTCTATTTTCCCTTTGATTAGAAGGCGAAACTAGCGTGCTAAGGCTATCGAGTAGCCACACTCGCTCGTTTCCCTTATCAAGAGGGGATTTTCACGCAAATGAACCCTAACTAGCATGAGATGAAAGTCCTAAAGTGAAGGGAAAAGGGGTTCGAGGCTCATGCCAAATGATAAAACTAAGGAAAATGCGTGATATGTGGTGAACAAGCAAATGATGTACTAACAAGGGAAAAACCCTAAGGGTCTAGCGTTGGACTAGCCCATTCTATGAATTCCGACTAGCGTTGGACTAGTGGAAACGATAAAAGAAGCCACAACTAGCATTGGACTAGTGTGGTGACGTACATTCATCCATTACATTCATCCACACTATAAAAAAGCGAGTAGACATGCGAATCACTTATAAACACGTAGCACATAACACTTAGCATGCTTGACTAGATGCAAGGACCTAATAAAGCATTTAACATCTAACATATAGGCATGCAACCATTACATTTGCTCACTAAAACAAAAAGGGAAAGGGAAAATGGACCAAATTACTTGCTACGCCCTATCTATTACAAGCCAAGAGGTGTACACATACCCCATTAATAAAAATCAAAAGTAAATGAAATAAATGAAAGGAAATAAGAAGAGGCTAGGAAATCAAGTAGACATGCAAATTTCAATTAGCACATTAGTCCACATAGGGAGAGACAAAAAAGGTAAATGAAATTATACCTCCTCGCAATGGTAAGCAAATGAAGAAAAAATGGCTTCAAAACAATAAAATGGTCAAGGTATCAATTTAAAAGTAAAACATAAACAAAATCACCAAAGCCCTTCTAATTGCGACTTGAATGAACTCAAAAGGTGCTTAAAGACCAAGAAAAACGGAATAACTTGTCCAATTTCCAAGTATAGCATCTACTAAAGACCCAAAACAAGCATTACTCAAACATTCAAGTCCAGTTGAAACTTTTAAACACTTCAAAAATCCCAAAAATCAAGAAAAAAGTCAAATAATGATTGAAGTTGCAATGATTTAAGGACTTAATTACAAGATACTAGAACATGCTTGGGCTTTTGTGGAACAAAGAGAAACTTAGAGGGATCCAATTGATTAAATGTTCCAATTACTTGGGCCTTAGTAGAATAAAGAGAAACTTAAGGGGCCAAAGTGTAATTTTTAGAAAGCATTTTCATGCAAATTTTCATGCAATCTACGTGAATGACTTCTGCAACCCAAAAACATTTCTGCAGCCAAGACATTACCGCAACTTCCATTTTTCGTAAGCAACTATCGATCTCAACATAAATTGGATCAAAATCCTTTCAACCAAACATGCAAAACATGACAGACAAATCTAACATTCAACAAACCCAAACATAGAAAAACAAAATCATGCAAATGTTGGAGAGTTTTATGCAAAAGATTCGACATTTTTCATCCGCAATTCCTTGCAGCTTGTGTTCATTCTAATGCAACTTTTCCAATCCCAACTTAGCTAGACTCTTAAACAAACATCACCACCTTGACCTTAACAACAAAATCACCAAAACTCAACATCCAAATAAACTAAAAGACTTAGCATAAAGAAGGCAACTCCAGCAAATTTTTGCTGCAATTTTTGCAGCCCAAACTTCACGTCAACTTCATGCCAAAAGAAAATCTCAAACCATTTGGCCAACAGAAACAAGACAAGGATATGCAAGGGCGAGGGAATGGGAAAGGAACTTCTGCAAATTCTGGGTTCATACAATGAAGATGATCATCAATGATATAAGCAAACAACAAAAACAGCAATAGAGGAAAAAGGAAAAGTGCCGCAAGTTTTCGGCAACCTAAAGTGAAGTTTGCCGCATTATGTTTCCAAACAAGTTCATCAAAACCAGAAATTGTCGACTAAATCAAAATGTGAACCTTTGTTTGCAAAATCAAAATGGTAAACCTGGTTTGATCGAAAAACAAAAGAAAGAAGAAAAGCTGCAGCAAGATTTCGGACATAAGCTAGCAAAAAGCATCACTCAACATCACTTAACATATAAGCACTTTCATTCGTAGGGTCCATTCATGAACCGTGAACCATTTAAGATCAAATGGAGGCAAATGATGAACCAAATGGAAGACATGTGCAGTGATAGAAAAGTAAATCTAGCCTTGTGATTTCTTGAAATGAAATTTCATCACCCAACAAAGAGTCTCATATGAAAAAGCTCAAACAGATTCTACCATTATCTATTCCGGAAAATCCAATCAAAGCAACAGGACAAAATACAGCAAAGGAAACCGTAGAGCATAAGGACAAATGCAGCTTATCATCATGCAACCCAGAATTTCAGACATCATCTTGACAGATTCCCAAGTTAAAATATTCCGTGGGGCCTTAGCAAAATTCTGAAACTTATTTGATTCTTGGATGTTTAGCAAACACACGTAACAGCCACGAATCTTAACGGCAACAAGGAGGCAATCATTAAAAATCAAGTCTTTAAAGCATCAGGAATCATTAAAGGAGGAAAACACAAACTGATAGCCTTTTAGTTGACAGAATCCCAATCAAACATGTTCAACAAACAATGCATTCTGCAGACAAATCATGTATTCTAATGGCCTAGATACTAGTCACGCTAATCAAACAAGAAAACCCACGTCTAGTTTTAGAAGAAACAAAACAAAGCAGAGTTTAAGACTACCTCTTTTCTGTCTTTTGGAATCAAAAGACCGTGGATATGCTAGGATGAGCAGAACTTCACCGAAATCAACTCGCAAACTCTGATGGAGGGCTGTGCGTCTCCAGTCTTCAGGTCTTCAACCTCCTCCTTTTCTCCCGTAGCCTTCCTCTTGTATCCTTTCTCTGCAGTTTCCCTTCGCAAGCTCTCCCCGCAACCCTCTGTTCTTTGTTCTCTTTCCGTAGCTAGTGTCTCGCCCTAGCTGCCCAAACGAAGCTCTCTCCTTTCTTAGTTTCTTCTGTTGCTATCCTCTAAAACCTCAGCCCTTTTGCCGTGCGTTTCTTTTTTTCCTTTCCCCCAAATTCCAGATTTCCTTTGTCTCTTCCGTTGCTCTGTTTCTTTCTTTTCGCCGACCGTCTCTCTTGTAACCTCTCTCTCTCTGATTTCAAACGCCAGTTCCCTTTCCTCCGCTCACTTTCCCAAAACCCTCACCAAAATCTCAGACCCCAGCCAATGCCCTAAAACCTCTCAGCCGGCACTTAGTTTTCTTTTTGTCTCTTTCCTCCCCCCGCTGTTTGTTTTCTTTTTTCTTCTGCTCATCCCCATCCCCCTTGCGGCTGCCCACTCTCTTGGCTATTTATATGGAACTTCAACCCTAAAACTCAGCAATCCTCTACATTTGCAACTAAGGGCTGCCCGAGCCCCTTTCTTGCAAGCTGCAACAACACGCAGCTCTTGCATGCTGCGTTTTTTTTTATTTTTTTATTTTTTTATTATTATTTTTTTAACTAATAATTTTACAAAATTGATAATAAAACTAAGTAATAAAAAACAACAATTTAAGTAATATCGCATCGAAATAAACAAATTAAAAACAAAGTTGCCATTTTTCAAATTTTCCTTCATTTCTTTTTTCATTTTTTTCTTTTCTTTTCTTTTTTTCCTTTTCATTTTTTTTAAGAAAACATTGAATTAAATCAAAACAATTAAACATATTTTTTTGAATGCTTTTCCTTTTCTTTTCCGAGAAATTCTATGCTAAAACTTAAAAATAAAAACTAAAAACTAAAAGGTGAATAAAACAGTCATGACAAGTAAATGAAAACAT